GGTCTTTTTAAGTATAACTGTTCCCTATTCAAGCGTTACAGATGTGGAGAAAAACCTGGAAAACTCCACAAAACTCCCATCCTGGTGAGGCGCAAACACACAACTGAATTTCCAGTGTTCAGGGAATGGAACCGCTTGACCACTGGTCAAGCGACTTCCATTCCCTGGACTTTTATATATAAAAATTCAGAATTGGATATTTAACATTTATGAGGAATTCTAAAAATATCATTTCCTTCAGCGTATACTTTATTATTTAATTTTTAATTGTAGTAAATGAATGTAGTAATTTTTAATTGTAGTAAATTGTAGTAAATGAATGAGGGCTACAGTTTCTAATTCTATTAATAAANATATAGTTCTGGCATAAACAATGTTAAATTTTAACTGACTTAATTTTGCGAACGCATCTTTTTTATTTATATGGATATTTTAAGGTCAGTTTTTGCACTAATGTTGCTAATGCACCATTTGAGCAAAAAAAAGTTGTTAAGGAAAAATTTTCTGTTAGCGAACCCTTTGTTAAATATTTCGAATATCACCACCGCCTGGAACCATGTTGTATCATTTACTTTCCAAATTGTTCCATCAATAATTAATATTAGTTCTTAACAACACTTGCCTTCTTGAAAATTTTTATTTCACAAATTACCATCTATTGAATAATACTCATAATTTGAAAATAAAGATGTTGGACAAAACAAGCATTGACTAATATTTATTACAGAAACAATTTGAAAAAATTTATTTTTTTCAAATTGAAGATTAATATGTGAGGTATAAGCAGATATGTGGGGTGTTGCCTGGCCAAAAAGCAAAAATGCTATACAGTGGTGCCTCGTATAATGTACGCCTCGAATAACGGACACTTCAAATAACGGACTTTCTGTTTGACCGTTACGTGACTCGAGCAATGGACTTTCCGTTCGGCAGTTACGTGAGACGAACAATGGACTTTCTTCGAACAAGTGCGAATGATGTTTCCACTCTTTTGCCGTTGCCAATGACAATCTGCTATTTTTAGGATATATTAGTATTATTAGAATGTATTATTAGTATATCTGAAGTAGAAATGTAATGTAATATATGTTGATGATTTAAATAAACATTAAATGTAATGTAATACAGTATATGTTGACAATTCAAATAAACGAAATGTAATTGTGTAGATGCCGAGGTGGCGGGACGAAAAGAGGTTGTAAAAAACAAACGGAGCGAGAGTA